CCCCCCACACACACACACACACCCCCAAACCCCATTCGTGTGTGTGTCTCATCAGGTCTGGGTGAGCAGGAGTCGCCCCGTGGTGTCCCATCAGGCGAGCGCCTGGCAGCCCCCGACAAGCGCATGATCAACATGGGCACCTACGACTGGCGCGACGCGCGGAGCGAGTTCCACAACAAACACATGATGATCCATGGCGACTACGACCAGAAGAGAGTGGATGTCACAACAAGGCCACAGCCGAGACACGACGGTACCAGACACACCACAAAGACAAAACCTAACTTCTGTGTGAGTATGTGTGTTTGTCTGGGGGGGCGGGGGATGGTGCGTGTGTGTTCCCACAGTGCCGTCGTGGGTGTTGAATCGCAGCCGCCCGCCTGCTGGGATGCAGTGCTATCCCGGGACTGCGTCGGGGTTCGCAGGCAAACCCATGTCGGCCAGGCAGCGACGGGTATGCAATATAAATAGAGAGATATGCAGCCACACTGGGCACAGTAACTTTGCAGCCACATGATGTGTGTGTGCGAGTGCAGGAGATGCAGATGCAGTCGTCAATATTCCACCCCGCCTTTTGACTGACTGACCGACTGATTGATGGCATGGCTGCATCTGCCTGTCTGACAGCTAGGTCGACTCCATTGACGGCATGGATGGCTGGATGGCTGGCATGGCTGGGAGCGTCTGAGTGATAGGACCGTCTTCCTTCAACACACTGACACACCGACGGGTCGGATGCCCTCACTGAAGGATTGATCAATCGCATTTATGCAATTAAGAGTCTCACTGCACCATCGCATCTATGAGTGAGGGCATGGCCATGGCAGTCAGGGTGGGAAGCACCCTCCCTTCCTCAGTCAGTCAGTACTTAAGGCTACAGGAGTCCCTGCCTGGAGAGATCTTGGTAGGCCTTGACGCTCATGACGTTCCCCTGGTCGTCCTCCATCTCCATCTCGTTGTCCTGACGAAACGCCTGAACACACACACACACACGCACAGATCACTTAGATCCAATCCAATGCATTAACCCAACCCGCCACCCACCCCCCTCGATGCTCTTCTCACTCACCTTGACCTCGGCCTCCTTTTTGAGTTTCTCATACAGGGTGAGAGCGTCCTCGATGCGTGTGATCTCCTTGAAGTGGCTGGTGTTGGGTATCTTGAGGCAGCGCATGCCGAAGGCGTGGCGCCACTCCTGGAAGTGGCGCTCGAAGGCCCGGCGGCCCCAGTAGGAGTAGTTGCCGCAGATCTCACACTTGTACTCGATGCCCAGGCCGTGCAGCTTGTAAAGCCAATAAGGGATCGGCTTACCGTCCCAACCTATTTGTTTAGTGGTGGACACAGAGATACGTGGCGGGGCGGGGTGTGTATGTTGGGGCTGTGGTGGGGACGGTTTAGGTGTGTGGAGGTAAGTTACTTACCGAGTGGTAGGTTGAGAGGGTTGTAGATGGGTTTCTCTGCGTCTGAGCCCTCCTCTTCCTCCTCCTCTATCTCGGGCACCTCCTCTGACAGACAGACAGACAGACAACACATCCATCCAGCCATCCATCCGCACACACAAACATCAGTGTGGTCAGTGTGATTGATGTGGTTGGTATCTATGGCATCAATCGTGTGTGTACCTTCTTCCTCTTCTTCCTCCTCGTCGAGCTCCTCGGCGGTGCGCGACTGCTTCTTCTGAATGTACTGAATCGTCGCCTGACACGCACATACCAAGAACGAGAGGACAATACACACACACACACACACACACTTTTCCTGCGCCCATTCTCCGCCCCTCCATCCATCCATCCATCCATCCCCACACACACATAGGCTGCCCACCTGTATAGTGTCGCCGAGGAGCTCCTGGAAGCGCTGCACCGTCACCTCGAGCTCGGCCAGCGTCTTGTCGTGGTCACGGGAGGCATCCTCGAGGGCCCTCCGCTCATCCACCGTCTTGCGCGCGAACACCTCAGCATTCTTACGGTACTTCTTGCCCTAGTATGACCCAACAGACAGACAGACAGACAGACACATAGATGGGAAGGAGCGTTGCGTTGCCCTCTCCGTGTGGTCAGTCAGCGGCCGTCCCGCTGGGTACCTTACCTTCTCGTGTGAGGCCTTGGTGGCCTCGCTGGCGAAGAGGTAGTCGGAGGGTATGGCGTAGAGGGGGTCGTCGAAGGTGCTCTGCTCCCAGCCGGGCACCAGCCGGCTCCACCACCTAGCGTCGAAGTCCGACGCAAACTGACGGTCAATCTGACACACAGACGCCAACATTAACACACGCAGGGAGGGAGGGAGGAGGGCATGAGCGCATTCATATGTGTGTGTGTCGGTTGTGTGTGCGTGTGTGTGAGACCTTTTGCATGTCGACGATGGGGTTTTGTTTCTCGAAGAAGGTGCGGAGGTAGCCGATGAGCTCCCGCAGATACTGCTCGTACTGGGCGTCACGGTACTTGCAGTGCCGGGGGATCTCGTGAAACCTGACCGAATTATGACATTCAGCCCAGCAGAGAGGAATATATATATATATATATGTGTGTGTGTGTGTGTGTGTGTGTGCTGAGGAGGGAGGGGGACGCTCTTTTTCTCTCTGTGTGTGTCTGCGCGCGTGTGCGAACCGGTCGAACGTCTGCAGGTACTGGATGTAGTCGATCTCTTGGAACTCAGGCAGCTCGCTGTCGTCCACATGCGCCTCCTGCTCACCCTCACCGGCCTCAGCAGCATGGGCCCTCTTCTTCTTCTCCAGGCGGACCCGCGCCTCTTTCCTGTGCTCAGACACCCTGTGCGCCTTGAGCTTCTTGAGGTTGACGTACATGACGTAGTAAGGGTGCAGGTCCACCCTCTTGCCCGTCTTCTCGTCGCCAGAAAAGATGGCCTCCAGCTTGTCCTGCGCCTGGGCGACCGCCTGGTTGAGGAAGAAAGCGTCGTCCCTGATCTCGGGCAGCACATTCTGCTGGGCGAACTTCCGGTGGTAGTCCTTGATGACCTGCACCTGCTGGTCGAAGTTGACAAACACATCGGGGATGCCGTCCTGTGTGGCCGGGCGGGTGCCGCCGAGCATCTGAATCTCGTCCCTGCGCAGCCCGTCTTTGTCGGCGTAGATGTCGAGGGCGGTCTGGCTCTTGCCCCGGAGCGAGTCGAGGAGGTTGCGGATGGCGTGCTCGTACTTGACGGCGTGCTTGGGGTGCTTGGCCTTCTCGGCCAGCAGCTTCGCCACGGCCTTCTCTATCGTCTGCAGGCGGCACGAGGGAGGCGGACAACAAACACAGTGAATTGACTGATGCAGCACGTTGCACACCTCTGTCTGTCTGTCTGTCTGTCTGTCTGTGTGTTGTCATCATGTCTTGCGCACCTCGACGTCCTCATGCGCCTGGCGCAGCTGCTCCAGCAGAAAGTGAGACATCCTGACGATATATATGAGCAAGCCGGTGCTTTCTCGCAGCACAGGTGGCAGATCTGCCTCGCCACGAAGCCTCTCCCGTTGTCCCAGGTAGTCGTGTGTTTCGAAGTGTTTTTCCCCCTTTTGTGGTGCGAGCCTGCCGACGATCCACCATCGCGCGCTTCTTCCCGATTCGCGCGGAGACAACGAAGGATCTGAAAGAGCTGCAGTGGACACACACGCACTGCTGTTTTTGTCGCGGTTCGGCGAGCGAGATCTCACCCATCTGATCTGCCTGAGCTCGTGACGTGAGGTGCGGTAGTGGAGTGGGTGAGGTGATGGCTGGTTTGTCGTTCCGGCTGCAGCCTGAGCAGGACTGCACCGACTTCTTCCGCGAGCGAAAGAAACCTCTCAACCAGAGAATACAGGGCGACTGCCTCCTCATCGATGAGGTGGCCAAAACATAGGGAGGGGAGTGGTGTCTGTGTGTGCGCGCGTGTACCCCCTCCCGCCACCGGTGTGTCTATCTGTCTGCCTGTCTGTCTGTCTGTGTGTCAGATCTTTGAGAACGTCTGGGAGTTCCCGGCGACCAGCGTCAAGGAGCGGAAGGTCACCCGGGGTGACCTCTTCATCGGCGACCTGCGCATCGACTTCGACTGGAACGGACAGACCAGGACGCTCTGCCGCGTCTGCGGCAAGCACGTCCTCAAGAGCAAGTTCGCCACCGAGCACTACAAACAGAACATCAGTACGTGTGTGCAACGGGTGTGCGCGTGAGGCAGTGTGATGGGAGAGCACTGCACTGTACTGCTGGGGCCTCGTTTCCTTTACGTGTTTGTTGGTTCCTTTGATCTCTGGCTGTTAGGTTGTTGGAAGGAGGTGATGAAGAAGCTCAGCATCACCGACTTCGACGGACTCAGCCAAGCGTGAGCAGCCACACCACACTACACTGAACACACACGCGTGCCAGCGATGGCACACACGTACCCATCCATCCTTTTGCAGCGGGTCGAGTGTGTCGGGTCGGAGCCGCCTGTCGCTTCCCAGAAGCGCCATCGACGCCAGCCACAGTACGCACACGCACGCATGCCCCCTCCCGCCCTCCCTCGCTGCGGAATCCATCCGCTCACACCTTTTCCCTTTTGTGTGTGTGTGTGTGTGTGTGTGTGTGCGTGTGCTGCAGTCAGTGTGCCTATGATGGAGGGTCTGTTGGGTTCGGCGTGCGAGAACCTCTTCCTCAGAGCGCACAACGCCGCGTGCGCTGAGCTCAGGCAGTTCAGGTGAGCTGCGACGGAGGGGGAGGGAGGGGGCAGGGTTGAGAGGGCGTGTCGGCAAATGTCAGCCATCTTGTGTGTGTGTGTGTGTGTGTGTGGATGTCAGGACGGGCGGCATCGAGATCAAGCAGGAGGAGGAGACGCCGGAGCTGTATGGCTTCATCGAGAGTGAGTGGGCAGCAAAGGCAACGCGGGCGGGGCACAGGCGACTGACTGTTCTGTTGATGTGTGTGGCTGCACTGCACTGCACAGACACAGCGCACCAGTTCGGCTACGACGGCAGCAACAACACTGAGCCGTGGTTCAAGATCGAGGTCTTCCACCCTAACGCCTTTGTCGCCAATAGAAACAACAGCTACGTAAGCCATCTCAGCCAGCCATCCATCCATGCATCCTACCGCTCACCTACTTGCAAACAAACCTCTCTCTCTCTGTGTCTGTGTGTCTGTGTGTGTGTGTGTCCCAGAGCTACACCTACTTGAAGTTGCGTTTCAACGCGGCGGGTGCCCGTCATCTGCAGGAGCTGTTCAAGCTCGACTTTGAGTTCCTCATCGAGTTCGGCGAGGGCACTCTCATGGTCGCCAAGAGGTTCACTCTCAGGTCAGCACACCACACCACACACCACCCACACACCGACACACCCACATCTCCATCGTGTGTGCGTGTGTGTGTGTGTGTGTCTGTGTGGTGCACAGAGAGGCGGATAACAACCCTGCCGAGGACCCCGACTTCGGCAACCTCAAGCGACAGGGGTTCGCCTTCCTCAAGACCCACGGTACGTCAGTGAGCATATCACCGTAACGAGCGAGGGAGCACCACACAGACAGACAGGCTGCCTATGTTGGTGTCTGTCTGTTTGTCTGCTGTGGATGTGTGTGTCGCCCCGCCCTCAGTGCCGATGAAGCAGCCCGAGCACATCCAGCTGAAGCTCCGCATACCCAAGAACCTCTTCGAGTGGTACATCGCCACTTGTGGTACGAGGGCACACACCCAACACACACGCACGCACACACCCGACTGACACCCCTACACCCAGAGAGCCCCTCTGTGTGTGTTCCGTTTGGCAGAGACACAGGTGATAGAGTTCAAGAAGGCCGAGGACTACTGCGCCACCCACCTGCAGGCCTCACTCTCCCAGTTCCACACCCTCGCCAACACCCCCACCTACCCCGGCTCCTACGTCGAGTCGCCCTCACCCGACCGTGCCATCAGCAACCAGCTGCTCCCCCCTGGCCCACCAGCAGCCCTGGCAAGATCAGCCAGTGCGGGCAGCGCCTCCCCCACCAGCCACAGCCAAGCGGGCGGATGGAGCCCCCACCCACACCCACACCGCCCCCCCACCCCAGAGCCAGTGGTGCTGCGGATCCCAGGACACCACAGGAGCCCCTCTCACACGCCTCAGCCCAACGGGCTGGCCTACGGGCAGCCACCAGGGTCACCTGCTCTCGCGCCCGAGAGCGCCATCACCGTGGGGTTCCCGGCTGAGAATGGGCAGCAGCACGGCCTCCCGAGCGGCGCCCGCACTCCTGCCTCGTTGCTGGCCGCGTCGATGGCTGAGACCAACATGCTGGGGGAGAGGGGCGGTGGTGGTGGTGGTGGGGTGGACGGGCAGCCACTGCAGCTGCCGCAGCCGCCTTTTCACATGGGTTCGGATGACTCGGGGGGCTACCTGCAGCAGCCACAGCAGGAGCCGCAGCCACAGCAGCAACAGGCGATTGGGTTTGGTTACCCTGCCGACCATGAGCAGCATGAGAGAAGCATCGCCCGCCGCGCCAGCAGCCCCTACCCCCAAGGCACACAAGAGCTCGAGGCGGCGGCTGCTGACGAGGTGAGCGGACCACCACATCACACACATGATGTGGAAGTCCCCGTGTGTGGTGTGTGCGCAGGTGATGGGGATGATCGGTCCCGCGAAGGATGGCTCCGGTGCTGCTGCTGCGGCTGCTGCGGCTGGTGGTGGTGCTGCGATGGACGGCATGCAGGTGCAGGACGCCCAGCCCCACCACCCACACATGGTCATGCACAACCACCGGCAGCAGTCCATCCACTGACTCAGGGAGGGAGGGAGGGAGGGGGGAGTTGGGGTTGGGGGCGTGGGTGTAAGTGTCTCCCGTGCTGTATTGCCTGCCCGATTTTTGCCAAATGAGTGCGTCTGTGTGAGTTTGTGTGTGTCAGATCTGCGGTCTGTGTAGTGTGCGTTGCGTGTGTGGTGGTGGTTACCGTCATCAACAGACGACGCACCTGACAGCTGTCGTGTCGTGAGACCACAGCAGCTGTCTGGTGCGTGGACTGTCGACGGCGCTACTCACCGCTACGCTCCAGCAGCACAGACAGACAGAGAGGAAGAAAGAGAAGAATCGGGGCGTGTATGGCACTGTATGCCTGTGTGTTTGCTGGGGCTCTTTCTCTGTCCAGCTCTCTCTCTGTGTATCAGTGCCAGTCATCTTGCCTTTGTTCCTCACCTCTCTCTTCGCTGCCATGTTGTGCTGGTCCCTTCACTCGGGCCACGTGCATGTGGGTTGCCAGGCACGTCTATGTGTGTGGTGCTCTCCATGCGGGCGGCCGGGCTTAAGGAATCGGCACACGACGGCAGGCCCGCAGGACAGCATCCGACAGACAGATCGTATACATGGGGTTTTCGTTTTCCCGTTTTCCCACTCTTTTATTGACCGATTGGCTGATTGACTGCTGCGAGCGAGCTGCACAGCTGGTGTGGAGGTCGTCCATCGCTCCCTCTTGTGTGTGGGTGCGTGGGGATGAGTGGCTGAAACGCGGCTGCCTCTATAGACATAGAAGGCAGACGTGTTTCGGCCCCGACCGCCCACGCCCACCACATGAGAGGGCAGGGATGCCCACACCCGTATTTATGTAAGTACACGATGGCCATGGGAGATGGGAGGGTTCTTGATTGACTGATTGACTGATTATTTGGTTGTTTGCTGTCAGACTGACCGCCTTCAAGCTGTGTGCATTTTTGTACCAGACAGGACAGAGAGAAAATGAATGCCAAGGGGCTCGGTTCATGTCAGTCAAAAAGTGATGTTTGTTTCTGCTTTGCTTGCCTTGCTGTGGGAGCGCATCAGTCGAATGCCATCTCCGTTGTTTGCTTACATGGTGGATGGATGGAGGTGTGAGGTGGTGGTTGGTGCCTGGTGGCTGGATGGTATCTGCAAAGTCCTCTGTAAGGGGAGAGGGGTAGGTGCGGGCGGGGAGGTGTGTCCATTTGTGTGGGGCGGGCGTGACCAGTGTCCTTGGACATCTCTCTGTCCGTCTGTCCGTCCGTCCGTCTGTCTGTCTGTCTGCTTATCGCAATCGCTGGCTGTGTGTACGTCGGTCGGCTTTTTATCACTCGCTCGTTTCTCCCTTTGTTTCTCCATGCATGTGTCTTTGCAAGGCAGGCCGGACAGGCCTCTCCGATCCCTCATTCATGTCTTGTCTTGTCTTTGGTTGTTGTCGATACACACGTGATATACACATACACATACGTCACGTTAATCTACGTCACATGCGCACCAATTCGTTTTTGCGCCAAGACCAGTACACACATAGCACGGAGGTTGAGAAGACCTCGCCGGCCAGCCGCAAATACTGTCTGTCTCACGACCATAATTTGTTCATGACCTCTCTCATGGCCGGATGCTGGCTGTCTCACTCACTCACTGTGCACGCCTTTTTTGCCTCGCTTGCCTTCCTGCCTTCTTCGCGGTGTTGTGTACCAACCAATGTAGAGTAGCAGCTGCTCTCGGTACGTGTGAGATGAGACGCGATGACACGGACACGAACCCACCCTCCTGTGGGTGGCTCCTACATAACTGTCGCTTATGCACTGTGCGGTGATATTGCGACACATCTCCGAGAAGATGAGTTAGGTCACAGGGTTTCGAAAACACGGTTCGAAGGTCACAAAACAGCCCGGGTGGCCAAGCGCTCGTCTTACACGCGATGCAGTCTTCGTGCTCGTTGAGAAATCAGGACAGCCTTCGACGGATGCGAGCTGAGCTGCACGAGAGAATGGAGCGCTCCATTCCGAAGATAGCGCATGAGCAAAGACCGCAGAGAGCGCATGTCTACCTCTTCTGTCCTGGCCTGGCTACTCAGATCTGTCAGCGATCTGCTCGACCGACGGCCTCTTCCATCTCTCAGCGAACGCCTTTTTATCTCTTATCGCCACTCAGTGCATCTTCGACGACTTGAGGCCACGTTTTGATCTCTCATCTTGCGGCAATGAAGACTCTGCTGTGCCTTGTTGGCGCCCTTCTGCTGGCTGGTGCTGTGACCGCTGGCCCCGCCCTCCGCGCCGCTTCGACCGATTTGGACGGACTAGCTCGTGACGGCGCCTTCAATGCGACGGTAGGCACAACAGCCATCCACCAGACATTGACCGACCGACTCGGTCAGCCGGCTGCTTGTCTTCCCTTTGCGTGTGATGTGTTCTTTCAGGTGCCTCTTATCAACATGGACCCCGATGGTGAGCGGCTATCAGACAGAGACAGCGAGCGAAGCGCACTACTGATTCTCGCGTATGTGCTGCCTACACACAGGTGTTGGTGACGAGACTGGAGCAGAAAGGCGCGAGCTGAGCGACACGTGTGCCACGATGGTTGCGGGGGGGCTCCAAAACTGCTGGGTGTGCCATCGTGCGGATTGCTGTTGCCAATTCTTCATCTTGCCCCACCCTGCAATAGACTTTCGGGACCCGTGCGCTGTGGCGGATGGTGCTGACTGCACGTGGTGCAATGGACCAGGTGGTGCGGAGTGCTGTTGCACTGTCCGCTTCACCATCAGTGGCTCCAGTCAACTCGCCCCCCAGCTGTCCCCTGGCGAGCAAGGGCCTGGCGAGCCAGGGCCTGGCGAGCGAGGGCCTGGCGAGCCAGGGCCTGGCGAGCAAGGGCCTGGCGGGCGAGGGCCTGGCGAGCCAGGGCCTGGCGAGCGAGGGCCTGGCGAGCGAGGGCCTGGCGAGCAAGGGCCTGGCGGGCGAGGGCCTGGCGGGCAAGGGCCTGGCGGGCAACGGCAGCCACCACCTGGCGGGCAAGGGCAGCACCCATCCCAGCGCTACTGAGCAGGGCATGGGCGTCCCCGCGAGGTAGGTTGGCGGGGTGGGCAGGAGTGAGCGGCGTGCAGTGCATTGCTCTCTCTCTCTCTCTGTGTGTGTGTGTGTGTGTTTTGCTGGCTGTAGGCTTGTTTGTCTGGTTCGATCGAAGCTGCGTCCAAAAAAAGGAGCGGCTGAATGCCCTACTGACTGATGTCGTGAGAAACCAGCCCCGCTGACAGCTGCTGTACTGTGCTACTGAGTGGCTGTCTGCCCCTACAACGCCATTCGTGTGTGTGCCTGTGTTGATTTGTTCATACGATGTCGCTTCGATACGTCTGGTGTGTACAGTCGGTGCACAGTCGACGATCGCTGGGCGCCTGGTCACTTGTACGTTCGAGTGCTGTGTTGGAGAGCCCCTTGTCTGTGTTTTCCTTACTCACCACAAACACCCCGTCGTTCGTATGTCTGCCTGTGCACCACGCAGGCGGTGCCGCTTCAGTGAGTGAGGCAATCTATTGTGATTTCTCAGTGTTCGTGACATGATTAGCCGATTTGTGTACATCGTCATTTTGCCTGCCTCCTTGCTTGCTGCCTTGTTCTCTTGAATACATCCTTTGTATATGTCTTTTGGTGAAGTACATGTGTTCTGTTGATGTGAAGTGACGGCAGGGCGGGAGAGGGCAGGCAGTTCTGGGGGAGGGAGGAGGAAACGGTGGGACGTGAGACAGATATAAGCGACCGATCAGACCTGAGTGAACGATTCATGTTGGACGAGTGAACGAATCATCGAGTGAGAACCACATGTGCAGCAGAGGGCAATCGACTAATATCCACAGTGAAGATTGCTCATGCATTGCTCATGCATTGCCTGACAACTCTGACGAATTCATCTACTGCATACGACCGAGTTGTGAGCCTCACATCAAAAGAATCCCGCCAGCGATCGGTACGTGTGAGATGAGACGGACACGGACACGAACTCACCCTCCTGTTGGTCGCCCTGACATAACTGTCGCTTATGCACTGTGCGGTGACACTGCAATGTCCGCCGACACACTCCAAGTAGCAAGAAATTGTCCGGCTTGGACAGGATGAGTTAGGCTACAGGGTTTCGTGAAACTCGATCAAAGCTTGCATCTCCTTCGTTCGTTTGTTCGTCGCAGGCGATGTGGATCTCTCGTCCTTCTTCGAGGAGCTCAGCCTCCGACAGGTGCGAGCTGAGCTACAGGTGTGAGAGAATGGAGAGAGCTCAGAGCACCCTCTTCTCTGTCTTCTCTGTCTCTGTCTTCACCCACACAAGCGGCCTTCGCCCTCCCGGGCTACTCAGATCTGTCGGCATCTGCTGGAGCAACGGCCTCTTCCATCTTGTCTTGTCAGCGAACGACGAAGTCTATTTCGACCACTTGAGGCCTCGTGTCCATCTCTTATCTCGTGACAATGAAGATGCTGCTGTGCCTTGTTAGCGCCCTTCTGCTGGCTGGTGGTGTGATCGCTTGCCCCGCCCTCCGCGCCGCTACAAGCGATTTGCCTACCGCCGCCGACCACCAGAACGCCACCGAAACCCACAACGCCGCCGAAAACACCACACAAGACGGTAAGGAAACAGCACAGTTCCCCCCGTCGTGACGTGTTGTCACTGTGTGTGCCCGCTTCACCATGCAGGTGTTCGTGGATCCCTTCGACGCCTGCAACGCTGCTGCAACACCTGCGGTCCTAGGGACGACAGCTGCTGGTTGAACTGCGTCCCCTCCAACATTTGCACTCCGCCCGCGCCCAATCCCCCCCCGACCACTCCCACCGGCTGCGGGCCAAGTAGTCCTTGCTGCGACAGGAAGATCCAAGAAGTGTGGGTCCAGGCGTGCGCGAAGACCTGTGACGCGGTCCGTCAGGCCGGAGGCTGCATGGCACTCGCACAGGTCCCCGACTTTTTGAGGCCTCTCGCCTGCGCGAAGAAGTGCTTCGAACAGATGAACACGATGCCGGACTGTATGTGCTCGGGGCTACCCAACGGCGCGCTACCTTGCCCCCCCTTGAAGAGCGAGTGGGATGATAGGTGCTGTGCTCTGAGTGGGGGGTGCAGCAGGTAGACGAGACAGCCAGACGTAGAGAATCCGTGATTTTCTGACCCGCTGGCTGTGGTGCACCTACTGCATGCACTCGTCTGCCTGTGGCGTGTGCGTCATTATTCTTTCATTAAGTCTACAGAGAGATACACGTGTTGTGTGCGTGTGTGTGTGGCTCGGCAGTCGTCCATGTCTGTTAGGGATTCGTGTTGGGTGAGTCGCTCGTCCACAGACCTGACCAGAGTGCTTCGTTGTCTGTGTTGATGCGCTCTGATCTGAATGTTCTTTGATGATGGCAAGTGATGTCGGATGTGCACGTGACCTGTTGCCACTACCATCCATCCACGTAAATTGCTGATGCGTGCCTCCCATTATCCATCCATCCATCCATCATACTGTCCTGCGTCGCGTCGACAATCGGCAAGGTCCATGCATGTAAGCCCTCGGCCAAACGGCTGTCTTGGTTGTGTGAGTGGCAGCAGCTCTACATCCAGAGCTCACAGGCATCTGTCTGCACGTCTGTGTGTCTTGTGTGTGCAGGCGTGAGTGAGTACTTGGTCGTTGCCCGACTCGTATTTCTTCTCTGCCGGCACCACACAGCACCAGATCAACATAAGTCCGCGTACTCACAAAGTGTGTGCACTGCATCTGTCTGTGTGTCTGCAGGCCATCCCCAACAGACGGCCCACCCCGCCCCGCCCGTACCAGCAGCGGCTGCAGCTGCTGTGAGTGCCGGCCCCTCCCTTCGCGCCATGACCGATGCCAGCAACGCCTCAAATCGTCTCAACGCATTCGCTGCAGAAACGGTGATCCATCCATCCCACCCACGAATGTGATTGAGGTGTGACAGTCGCTCAGACTGCTGTGTGTCTGTCTGTCCGTCCGTCCGTCCGTCTGTGTATACAAATGCACACATACATATGTATACGTACGTACTGTGTATGTGTGTAAGTGTATGTACGTAAGTAGATATATATATACATATATACATACATATACTACGTATATTCATATACACATACGGACATTTGTATAAGTGTCTCTGTGGGAATCTCTCTCTGTCTGTGCGCCCGCGTGTGTGTGTGTGTGTGTGTGTGTGTTCAGGTGCCTATCCCTGTCAATGCCTCGACGGACGCCATCGACACCGATTCCAATGGTGAGCGTCCCTTCGAAAAGAAGCAACGGAGCTGACTCTCTCCGGGAGTCACTCTCTCCCGCAGTCCGTTGTCTGGTCTGGTCTGGTGTGTACAGCCGGTGCACACAGTCGGCGAGTCACTTGTACGTTCGAGTGCTGTGCTGGGTGTGTGTGTGTGTGTCTGTGTCTGTGTTGCGTTTTCCTTACTTGCCACAAACACCCCGTCGTTCGTATGTCTGCCTGCCTGTGCACCATGCAGGCGGGACTGCTTCAGTGGGTGAGGCAATCTATTGTGATTTCTCAGTGTTCGTGACATGATTAGCCGATTTGTGTACATCGTCATTTTGCCTGCCTCCTTGCTTCCTCCCTGTTGTTCTCTTGTATACATCCTTTGTATATGTCTTTTGGTGAAGTACATGTGTTTTGTTGATGTGAAGTGACGGCAGGGCGGGAGAGGGCAGGCAGTTCTGGGGGAGGGAGGAGGAAACGGTGGGACGTGAGACAGATATAAGCGACCGATCAGACCTGAGTGAACGAATCATGTTGGACGAGTGAACGAATCATCGAGTGAGAACCACATGTGCAGCAGAGGGCAATCGACTAATATCCACAGTTAAGATTGCTCATGCATTGGTCATGCATTGCCTGACAACTCTGACGAATAAATCTACTGCATACGACCGACTTGTGAGCCTCACATCAAAAGAATCCCGCCAGCGATCGGTACGTGTGAGATGAGATGGACACGGACACGAACTCACCCTCCTGTTGGTCGCCCTGACATAACTGTCTCTTACGCACTGTGCGGTGACACTGCAATGTCCGCCGACACACTCCAAGTAGCAAGAAATTGTCGGGCTGGACAGGATGAGTTAGGCTACAGGGTTTCGGGAAACCCGATCAGAGCTTGCAAACAATCTCATTCGTTCGTTTGTTCGTCGCAGGCGATGTGGATCTCTCGTCCTTCTTCGAGGAGCTCAGCCTCCGACAGGTGCGAGCTGAGCTACAGGTGTGAGAGAATGGAGAGAGCTCAGAGCACTCTCTTCTCTGTCTTCTCTGTCGCTGTCTTCACCCACACAAGCGGCCTTCGCCCTCCCGGGCTACTCAGATCTGTCGGCATCTGCTCCACCGACGGCCTCTTGCATCTTGTCTTGTCACCGAACGACGAAGTCTATTTCGACCACTTGAGGCCTCGTTTCCATCTGTGACCTCGCGACCATGAAGACTCTGCTGTGCCTTGTTAGCGCCCTTCTGCTGGCTGCTGCTGTGATGGCCGGCCCCGCCCTCCGCGCCGCTTCGACCGATTTGGACGGACTAGCTAGTGACGGCGCCTTCAATGCGACGACGGTAGGCAAAACGCCCACGCACAAAAGTGATTGAGGTGTCGCTCAGACGGCTTCCTTCCCTCTTTGTTGTGTCTGTCTGTGTCTGTCTGTGTCTGTCTGTCTGTCTGTGTGTGTGTCTGTCGGTGTGTGTGTGTATTCAGGTGCCTCTTCCCGTCAATGCCTCGACGGACGTCATCGACACCAACTCCAATGGTGAGCGTTCCTCAGAAAGAAGCAGCGGAGCTGACTCTCTCCGGGAGTCCATTCACTCTTTGTCTCCGTGTGTGTGTGTGTTCCTACCTGCAGCTGCCGACGATGCCATTGGAGGAAAGAGGCGTGTGCTGCAGCGCTACTGTCCCCAGTACTTGTGCGGATGGCTGGGCGGAGTGATTCCCTGCTGCCGTGGTGGGGGCACTCCCCCCGCGCCCAATCCCCCCCCACCCCCTCCCACCGGCTGCGGGCCAAGTAGTCCTTGCTGCGACAGGAAGATCCAGGAAGTGTGGGTTCAGGCGTGCGCGAAGACCTGTGACGCGGTCCGTCAGGCCGGAGGCTGCATGGCAGTCGGAATCCCCGACTTTTTGAAGCCTCTCGCCTGCGCGAAGAAGTGCTTCGAACAGATGAACACGATGCCTGACTGTATGTGCTCTGGGCTACCCAACGGCGCGCTACCTTGCCCCCCCTTGAAGAGCGAGTGGGATGATAGGTGCTGTGCTCTGAGTGGGGGGTGCAGCAGGTAGACGAGACAGCCAGACATAGAGAATGCGTGATTTTTCGACCCGCTGGCTGTGGTGCACCTACTGCCTGCACTCGTCTGCCTGCGGCGTGTGCGTCATTATTCTTTCATTAAGTCTACAGAGAGATACACGCGTGCCCGGGGAGCCTCTCATTTTCTGAGGGTGCCTCCCCTGTGGGTAGGCGTGTGGGGATAGTGTGTGTTGATTGGCCTGGATGTCTGTCTGTCTGGTTGGCTGTCTGTCTGTCTGTCTGCATGTCTGTCTGCATGTCTGTCCATTGCATTCACGTGTGCTGCTCGTGAGCATCGTTTGTCCATTTGAGTGTCCGTAGCTCGTTATCATTACATCGCGATCGACTGTTCATGTTTGTACGTGCCGTGGCCACGGGCGCATCGTTACACATCAACCCGTCTTGTGTGTGCGTGTGTGTGTGGCTCGGCAGTCGTCCGTGTCCGTTAGGGATTCGTGTTGGGTGAGTCGTCCACCGAACCCTGACCTGACTTGACCTGAGTGCTTCGTTGTCTGTGTTGATGGCAAGTGACTGTGTATGTCTGTGTGTGCCGTCTGTCCATATTCCATTCCATGACGAGTGGGGTATGGGACGGAATAAGAGACCGACGGGAGTCACTGCGTGAAGTACATCCATCCACGTAAATTGCTGATGCGTGCCTCCCATTATCCATCCATCCATCCATACTGCCCTGCTCAGCACAATGCAGACGGTCCCACCAGACAAACAGACTGGACAGACAGACAGACATGTAAAGACAGACGCTCGCATACTGGTCGAATGAAAGAATGGATCAAGGGGTCAGGCCGTCTACGGCATGCACAATGTCGACGTCCACACTGATCATCTGCCGCGTGTAGCGGAGATCTCCATTCGAGAAATCCACGCCTTCGAAAAAGGCGAGCTCAGAAAAAGGAGATCGTCTGCGGCCAAAAGAGCGGAATGACATCCCAGGAGCACCAGGCAACACACGGAGGGCCTCATGGCCTCACACGAACGTGAGTTTGTGGCCGCAGAGAGAGAGAGGCCATCCCGAACGCACCGCGAAGACGGAGTAGAGGTCGAGATCTTACCTCTGCGCGTCAGATCTGTTCCGGCACCAGCCCCTTTGCTCCCTCTCTCTCTCCCCAGCCAAAGCGAGACGAGGTCTGTCAATGAAGGTCCTGCTGCCTCTGACTGGCGCCCTCCTGCTTGTTGCTGCTGTTGTGTGCGCCATGTGCACCAATGCGGCCATGGCGCCAGCTGCTGCCGCCACTAATGCGATGGTAGGGAGGAGAAAAGGGCCAGTCGACTGAAGGCCTGACTCATCGCCCACTGGGTCCCCTGTGTGTTTCTTCAGGCGCTCCGCGGGCCTGTGAATTTGTCGACGGAGGCCATCGACACGGACGGTGAGGGTGAGCGAGGGAAGCAGAGTGGTCCTCTCGCAGTGACTGCATTTATTACGTGTCTGCGTGTGTGCTGGCTGGCTTGGCTGTGTGCAGCTGCCGATGATGCGACTGGAGGAGAGAGGCGTGAGCTGCAGCGCTCCTGTCCCCAGTACTTGTGCGGATGGCTGGGCCCGGTGGTCCCCTGCTGCCGCAATCGTGTGTACACTGGCAGGCCACCACAGCCACCGCCGCAGCCGCGGCCCCCGCCGCCACCCCGGCCACGCCCACAGCCGCCACCATATGTCCCGCCTTACGGTGCTGCCGCCCCGGTCAACAGTGGCTCTGGTGCCGGCGATTGAGTGCCGGCGTTCGCTCTGACTGGACCGGGCGGTGATTGATCATGGGTGGGCTGTTCTGGGGTGAATGTTGACGTGCAGTGAGTGCATTGCTTGCGGTTTGACTGTACTGTGTGGCGTGTTAAACAGGTGTTGGAGCGGCTGACACAGAGAGAGGGAGAGAGAGAAAGATGGCCCACTGAATGATGGATGACATGTGCAGATATGTACGTGCGTAGCTTGCCCTTCCCGTCTGACGTTCTTTGCTGTGCTATTGGCCGGCTATGCGTAGAGAGAGTTTCTGGTGATTTCATCTGCTGCGGCGTGGTTGTGCGACCCATGACCTTTTTCTTCGCACTACTCTTCATGTGTGTGTGTGTTGGTGTGTGTGTTGGTGTGAGTGTTGACACACATGGTGCTGCAATGGGCGTGCCAGCTCTGGTCTGATTAGATGTGCACAAGCCGTGCACACAGTCGGCGATGGCTGGCTGCTGTCTCGGTGTGTTCGTGTGGGTGGTATTTCTCACCACAAAAAAACCCAAACGGTTGTTTGCTGTTTGGGTCAGTCAGTCAAGCGAGGAACCGCTTTGTAGCTATTTGTCGGCCTTCATCATCATAGTGTGGGTCATTTCGCCTGCCTGCCTGCCTTCTGCCTGCATGACTGGCTTGGGGTGATGCCTGATTGCGCGGTGTTGGTCGCCGAACTAAGAAACGGGACGCGTGGAATCGACACATGGATGCATTGAAGGATTCTCCCATGTACACCGAAACAAAGAAACCGGTCTATCCACAGCAAGGCAAACACACGAGGGGACCAACGACCCGCCGCCCCCCTCTACACAGGTATATGTTTACTTACACAGGCCCCCTGACCTGACAGCAGACAGCAACTGATACCTCTGCGGGCCTCCCAGGTTGACGCACACCGCCCCCAGCGCGTCGCTGCAGGCTATGTGCCGCCCCCTCGACTCCTCTATGTCCTCCTTGTGCGTCAGGTGGCCCGTCCGCGACGAGTAGACATACACCCGGGCCGGCTGGATGCCCAGACACATGACGGACAGGCCGTGCTGTGCCTAAGACGGCAAAAGCGGCTCGTGTGTGTGTGTGAGTCGTTGCTGCCTGCCTGGCTGTCTGGCTGGCTGGCTGGCTTACCCAGCAAGGAGAGGGCGGGAATTGGACGGACCGCTCTCGGCCCCTCTGCTCACTCAGCCGCAGCAGGGATCTTGCTGGGAACCTGCCACACCGCCACCCCCCCCACACACGCACATCCACACACGGCCATCCATGGCCCCATGTGTCTCCCCCGCTCCTCACCGGAGGTCAGTCACGCATGCGATCTGGTCGTTGCCGTAGCTGAGCAGCAGAGGCAGCGGGTGATATGCGCTCATCGGCTGCCACGAGATGTGGTTCACCACATACTCATGGCCTGACCCAGCCATCAATCAATCACCCATTCCACACGGCCCACTATGTGCCTGTCTACGCGTGTGTGTGTGCATGGCGCGTACCAGGGTCGAATGCCGTCTGTGAAGTGTTGTCGCCCGACGGCTGTATGGCGACAGCAGCGGCGGTCTTGCCACTACTGCGGACGTCCCACAGCCGCAGCAGCCGATCGTTGCCCGACGACGCCAGCAGGTTGCCGCTGAAAGGGCTCCAGCGCACCGCTTTCACCGAACCGTGATGTGCGTCAGGGATGGTGTGGAGGGGGTTTGCCTGGATGCCTGTGGCGGTGAAGGCCCACAGCTTTAAGCACTTGTCCCTGCCGCCGGTGGCGATGAGCCCACCGCTGCTGGCCGACTGATCCACCGGATTGACGTGATGCGAGTACAGACCTTGCTGCACTCAACACATAACTAAGTGGATGGACCAGGCTCTGTGTCTGTCGTGTGGGCGTCACCTCGTGGCAGTCGAAGATGTGTGCTGCGCCGCCCAGATCGCTGTGGCGGCCTCCAGTGATCAGATCGCGCCACCGCCATAGCCTGACGATGGAAGCACACAAAGCTGATGGACTCATTGGTAGGTAGGGTGGTCCTAATCATCTTTCTCTCTCTGTCGCCTACCTGATGTCACACGCTGCCGAGGACGTCACGAGCAGTGCCGGGCTGTCGGGGCGGGAGAGCGAGTGCAGCTCATCCATGTCGCCCATCATGCTACTGTTGAGGAAGGACACACACATGGGTGTTGGATGCGCTGTCTCCCTCTCCGTCTGCCTCACCCTCTGCCTCACCGTCCGTGGAATAGGTCCACATCGCCCACCCACTTATCGTGGCCTTGTGTGGACACGTTCACACACCCTCCCGTAGACAGGTCCGAACTGACCCCGATCACCACTACACGGCCCCCCGAGCCAGCTGCAGCAGCACCACACCCATGCACACACACACACACACACAGAGAGAGAGAGAGAGAGAGGCAAAGATCCACCACACACGTTAGCTAAGATCTTCCTCCTTTCTCACCTGCGACGATGAACCTGCCGCGAATGCTCATGCAGTACGGCTCGCACGGGTCTGTGCCCGGCTCCTCTACCACCGCACCCTTGTCAACGAAATGCGGCCCGGGCAAGGTCGACTGCCAAGTCACTGCCGTGTCCCTCAGTCGAGCCGCTGCTGGCCCAACGAAGGCCTCGCGGTTGCGGAGGGCCGCGAATGCAGTAACAGCAGGCCGCCATGCTGACACACAGGCAAATGAGAAGCCATGGACGGTGAGGTTTCCATTCATTCATGCCGTCTTTATCCTCACCATTGCGCATCTTGCCTGGCTGCTCCCGCCTTCTCTCCTCCTCCCTCTGCCGCCGCCTCACGCCGCCCCCTCCCCAGGCTCCCCGCACCCTCTGCCGTCGGCTCCTCACCGCAGCCCGCTCGTCGTCATCGGCCGATGACTCATCCATCTCGCCATCGTCTTGGTCTTCACCGAGTGCGGCCGTGTAGTCGACAGGGTGCTTCATCAGCCGGGCGCTGCGACGCACAAGCTGCAGCTCAGACTCGCCGCCTCCTGCTGCTGCCGCTGCTGCCGCTGGTGCTGGTGCGTCGCTGGTGGGCTCTTGTGGGTGGGAGCCGGGCTCGGTTCTCAGTTTGATGCGCTTGGCCCCTCCTGCTGCTATCTTGGCCGTCGGCTTGGCCTGCTGCTTACTCTGGGCTGCTCCCCCGCCATCTCCCTCTCCCTCTGCTCGTGCTGCTGCTGCTCCTGCATTGCTGTTGCCCAGATCACGCAGACGGGCTCCTGCGATTGGCCGGGAGGGGGCGGCTGCCGACTCGGATGGGGATGCGGGTTGGTGGTGGTGCTGGCGATGGCGGTTCCCATGCTGCTCATCTGTCCGTGGCTGTGGTTTGAGAAAGCCGAGGATGGATGTCTGGGTCTTCTTCATGAGATCTCATGAGATGGATGGATAAAGAGAAACAAAGGGGTGCTATGTATCTTCATCCATATGCTTGGAGGCACGAAACACGCTCAGAAAAAATATCATTCACGGGGCTTTACCCTAAAGCCTCCGCCAGTGGCCACAGCCGATCACTGGACTATCAACCTTCGCTGACCTGAAAGTTTGGTGTGTCTTTGTTCCTTACGGTTTCCGCAGGCATCCTCACCACATACGTTTCCCGAGTGTAGTTCTTGCAAGGTGTCATCGATTGTTTCCCACGTCTTCGAAACTCTGTTCCGTGTCGTCCGTCCATTCGTCGGCCGCTTGCTTATTGAGCGACAGAGCAGAGTCATAGAAGCACTGATTCAGCAAGCAAGCAAGCAAGCAAGATGACGTACGGTTGTGGACCCACCAGCCCTGAGTTGTCTTCCCGCATGAGCCATACCGGCTCTCAGGACGGCTTCGCCAATGCACCGGGTGAGAGGGAGAGAGAGGCGGACATCACATGACACACGGAACGATGCATGGCACGGGATGATCGGGTGTCTCTTCTCTGGCTGGTGTCCTGCAGGCGCGCCGGGCACCGTGTTTGCTCCCACGTTCGTCGGCCTGGCGGATCCGCGCATTCAGATCCCGTCGCTGGCGCCGCAGCAGTTCCATCTGCTGAAGGCCATCCGGCTGCAGAAGAAGGTGCGTCAGGTCATCCGCCGCGAGACACGCATGTTCGGCCTTCACTGGAAGAACGGTGAGCGCAGCAGCGATACACAGAGGGGGGAGGGGGGGGACGTGACAGACGTGACACACCTGCAGTGCCTCACTGAATGTGATGTGATGTGATGGGTGTGTCAGGTTTTGTGCACATCGACACTGATCGGTTTGCGAATGGCAACCCCATCAAGGTCGACGACAGCGAGAACTACTACCTCAGCAACCAGGCGCAGGAGAAGCACATGAATGCCCCACCCATGACGCCCGTGACGCCCATGCCCATGGCCATGTACCAGCACCACCAGCAGCAGTACGAGTATGGCCAGCCCGACTACGGCAACTACGGCTATGACGAGCATGAGGGCTATGGGTACCAGCAACAGCAGGAGGGCGGGTATGAGGGTGGCTATGACGGCAGATATGACGGCAGCTATGACGTGCAGCAGCCGGTGCATGAGGCCTGTGAAGTGCCTCAGGAGAGCGGCGAGATCCAGCAGCAGGAGCAAGAGCAAGAGCACAGCACGCCACAAATCGACGGTGAGAACACACACCCTCACACACATTAACACGGACAGAGAGAGATATGGAGGGACATGGTCGCATGTGTCTCTGTCTTGGTTCGTTCGTCTCCTGCTGCAGGTATTGAGATTCCCGGTCCGTTGGACATGGAGCGTGCCCGCACCTGGGACGTGCACGTACCGATCGACCCAGAGATGCAGGCCCACCTCAAGTCCATCAACGTCCTCTACTACAAGGCCTCTCCCATCGCCCCCAACCCCAACAGCCCATCCATCCACCCGCAGCACGGCAGCATCACATCGCCCAAGGGCAGGGGCATGCACGCCAAGCCGAGGAGGGGGCGAGGCCGTGGCAGGGGCCCACGCCACATGGAGGGAGGGTACGACTACGGCCACCACCAGGGCGGCGGCTTCCAGCACCAGCATGACGGGGGGTATGGACACTGGGGGGGCCATCAGGGGGGCTACGGTGATCGGTATCAGTATGATGCGCCTGCCCCGCCGTCCTACGACCAGTATGGGCAGTATGACGAGGGGTGGCGTGGCGCGCAGCACAACTTTTTCGGCCACGGGCACAACAACCATCACTCGGTGGCCGTCTTTTAAGAGAGAGATGGCTGGTAGGGTGGGTGGGAGGTGGAGGTTGGATGGGTATTGTGTAACTGGTTGTGTTGTCGGTGCGTGAGTTTCTTGACCATCTACTCGCCATCTGCTCTTGGTCCCAGGCTCCTTGATGCACTCTCTGCGTACCTCCACGTGACAAGTCGCACTCGATTTGTTTTGTGAGGGTGTGCTGAGGGAGGGCGAAGGACCGAGGCCTGCATGGTTGATGGACGAGCCAGTGCATTCTGCCTGAGTATTGCGATTCGCTGACACGAGCACCCAGTTTTGATCTTCTCCATTGTGTACACTGCAGATGGGTGTGTCTGTGCCGTGCCTTGCTCCCCCCTCCAACCTCCTCCTCAGTGAGTGTTTTGTGGGTGGGTCATGGCTGCCTGCCTGTCTGTCTGGCTGCATGTGGTGCCATTTTTTGCCTTCTGCTGCCTCATGCACGGATGGCTGTCCGTCTGTCTGTCTCTCTCTAGCCTTGGTTCTGCCTCTGCCTGTCTGGCTGCCTGCGTGACGTCACTACGGAAACCGTATTCGTGACACACACATGACTTGTGGGGGGAGGGGAGGGAGGGTGGGAGGGGGTGGGGGGTGTGGGTGGGGAGAAGCGGATTGCCTCCCTGTGAGTTTGGCTTGTCTGTCTGATGTACTCTGCCTTCCTTCCACGTCAACCAACTTTCTACGAGTTCCTTCCTCGTTTCAGCAGCAGTGAAGAGAGGAGAGGTGAGGGTGTAAACCTATCCATGTGTCTGTCTCCGTGCCGTATCCCAATATAACGCTCATGTCTTGCTTGCTGCGTGTGCCTGTGAGTGACCTACCTAGCGCTCATGTCGTGTGAAGTGCCGTGCATCGTCGCGGCACTTGCCTGCCTGCCTGCGCGTTTGTGTGTGTGTGTGTGTGTGTGTGATGGTATGTTTTTGATCGACCGACCAGACCGCCCACTGGTGGCGATGGTGTTGATAGCTAGTTTGAATCGGATGAGCATGGATGTCCGAGTCTGCCTGTGGTGTGGGATGGGTGGCTGATGAGTACATGGCTGGTGTTTAAACAAACACACGAGTGAATCAGACTCGCTTGCGACAATTGGACAGTTGCTGATGAGTCAATCGCGTGTACAACAGACTGAATTCGGACCTTTCACAACTCCACACCAGGAGGAAGGGCACTTCCTTCCATTCAGGCATCAAAACTCATTTGCTCAGTTACGACAACCTTTCATTCCAGTTACGCAAATGCGCAGAGACCAAAGCATCTTCATGCACCGGCTAAGCACACGGAGGTGATGTTGAGACCACTGCGGGCTTCAAATCACCTCCTCTGCTTGCTCCTATCAGTCTGGCTATCACTCCATGCAGACACACATATATGTCCAACACCCAGGCAGGCAGGCTGATGGGAAAAAGGCTGGCGTCTATCGAGCGCCAGACACGACCAACACTATTGTACAAGTGAAATGAATGAGCAAACTACCCCCCTTCTCCCTCTCCCTCTCCCCGTCCCCTCCCCTCCCTCCTCGCACATATCGCTCACAGCCTCCCGAAGGGCTCGGTCTTGATACCGTCCCCCTCATCAACAGACCGATCCCCCATGGCCATGCCGTTGCCCATACCCATGTCCAGCCCTAACCCCATCCCGCCGCCGGCAGACCTCTCCCGCTTGATGCTCACGCCGCGAGACAACCCATCACCGCTGCCGAAACCGGACCCAAAGACACCTCTGTCCATGCTGCTCTCGCTCCTTCCCATGCCCAGCCCCACGCCGATGCCCATGGTCATGCCGCCGTTGGAGCCGAGGGGGTCGTAGAGGTTGTTGGCCTCGTTGTTGTCTTGGCTGGACGGCATCGGGCCGATCATGCGATCGATGGACTCGAACGACACAAGGGGCGGGGGGTTCTGCAGACCGTTCTCCTCGTTCCCATCATGTGCTGCTGCGGCTGGTGGTGGTGGTGGTGGGAGGCCATCGTCTGGCGGCTGGTGTGCCCCTGCCCCTGCTGCTGCTTGTGGTGCTGGTGGGAGATAGAGTGGCTGTTGTGATTGCAGCTGTGGCGATCCATAATGCCATGGACCCACACCGACGTTGCCGTGCACCGGGCAGGTGCACAGGGGACCACCCGCTGTAGGATGCAAGTAGGGGGGAAGGGGCGGGTACTCGTAGGGAGGGACTGCCTGAGGGATTACCGGCGCATAGCCGTTCGTCGGACTCACGTGCCCCCACCCATTGGCAGCGCCGCCACCACCATACGGCTGGTCCAATGTCGGCCCTTCCGGCGGCTGAAACCGAGACCAGCCCTCAGCCGCACCCGTAAAGAGGTAATCCCCATCCGCTCCCGCACCCACCATCTGCCCGTAGGCATCCGTCTGCTGCAGGGGAGGGGGCAGGGGCAGGGGCAGCGGTGCACGTGGCGACACGAGCTCAGCTGCCTTGGTGGTGTGCCGCCTGCGTCTGCGGTGGGGCTCCTGCTTGATGGGGACGAGAGGGGGCAGGGGCTGGGGGAGGTGGGGGTCGCCCAGCTGCGGGATGGCCGGCTGGTCGGTGCGCGCGAGGGGCTTGCCAGCCACCACTTGTGGCTGTGGGAGGGGGTGGTCGTTTGTGGTTGCGGTGGTGGTGGGGCTGTTGGTGTTGCCACCTTCGCGTGCGGTGCGGCGGGCACGGTCCTTGGCGGACTTGCTGTTGAGGTGGTCGAAGTGGATGGCCACCACATCGTCCCACAGCCCAGCATAGTACGCCACACGAAGAATCTGTGAGACGCATAGAGAGCGAGATGGAGGGAGAGGGAGAGGAAGATGCGATGCGTCCATTTGCCGCTGACCCTTCTGTCCCGTCTGTCCCGCCCCACCTGCGGTGCGTACCTTTGCCAGTGTCGCATTGCGCATGTCCGAGTACTTGATCTGGTTCTGCTGCAACACCCGCGTCAAGAAGTCCTTGCGCGTCTCATACAGGTCCCGGAACCGCCGCAGCAGCTCCCGCCGCCCCTCCGCGCCCAGCCGCAGCGTCATTCCGTCCCGATAGGCCACTGTCGGTCTGCCTGATGGCGTGCGCATGAGCTCCACTGGATCGGTGGGCTCCGCCTTGTGCTTCTCGCGACGGCGGCGGGACTGGTCCTGCTTGTATTTCCGCATCTCGGCGTGTGCCGGAGTCATGGGGGCCACGCCTTTGTGCTCGAGGTGGAGCCGCACGGCCACGCGCCACAGACCTCTGAGTGAACCAGCACACATGAAGAGAGAGATACAACATCGCAGACGATTCGGTGTCTGAAAATGATGTTGTCTTTTCGTCTTCTGACGTTTCGTATGCCATTCGCAGGAGGTCGGGGATGGAGGTGTTCTGGAGGGTCTTGCCCTTCTTGCCTGAATGAACCAATCCACACACACATCACATCACAGAGAGAGAGAACTCTTGTCGATGGCTCTGCTCTGTCCGCCTCACATCTCGCGTCTGTCTCGTTTCTGTGCTCACTCACCATGTCCGGACGCTCTGATATAGTACCTCAGCAGCTCGCGGCCGGCCTCTCCCAGTGAAAACGATATACCGTCGTAAAACTCAGGGATCTAATCACGTGATGTCCACATACAGAGAGAGAGGCAACTAATACCTCTGTGTCCGTTTCGTCAGTGCAGTGCATGCCTTATGGGCATCCCCACTCACTCAGTCACCTGCGCGTCAGGCGGGATGTCGTCCATCCTCAGGTACGACTCGACCGGCTCCGACACGATCTGATAAAACCGCTCCTCAGAGTCGCTACCGTCACTCTCTGAACCAACACCAACACCTCCAGCACCACCACCACCACCAGCAGCACCACCGATGCCGTCAGCCACTGGTGGGGGCGGAAAGACCATGCCGCCCATCTGTGGCACGACGCCGTAGCCGCCGACATATTGGGGAAGGGGCGCATACACGGGAGGGCCGTACGGGTGAGCTGGCAGATAGCCCTGTGGCGGCTGCTGCTGGTACATGTCATAAAGCTGCCCGTACAGCGGTGCTGCTGCTGCTGCTGCTGGGGGAGCGGGCTCAGCGGCAGCGACAGCAGCGGCAGCAACCGGCGGCGGCTGTTCCTGCGATGGTATAGACGACACCCCCTTCAGCGACCCACTGCCGCCCGTCGTCCCTCGAGCAATGCCCCCCTCGCCCTCGATGCTCGGACCGCTCGACGACATCCGCAGACCATCACTGTCAAGGTCGCTGTCCCGCCCGCCGTTGCGAAGCAGAGGGGGAGGGGACATCATGGGGTGGTCGGACTCGCGCGGCAGTGAGTCTGGACCGTTGGGCAGACCGTTGGCGTCTGTGTGTGGGGGAGGGGGGAGGGGTGGCCGGTCTGCGGCTTGTGTGGGAGGGGGGAGGGAAGGGGGAGGGAATGACGGCCGCATCGCCCAGGGAGCCACGTGGGCGAAGGGGTTGTCCTGAAGCAAGAAAGCAAAACACACATAAGACAGATGGTGAACAGTGTGTGATCTCTCGTGAACTGACCCTTGAGCGAAACCGCGCCATCTTCCTGCTCGGCTGGTCATAGGACGACACCCTGTCCAGGTTGAGCGCCTCCAGGTCCTGACTCAGGTGCTTGACCAGATCATCTCCAACAACAAAGCCATTCACGCTGGTCTCCTCATACACCCCTCCCATGGGCATCTCCAGCCCCAGCTGATGCACTGTAGCCAGCGATGCATCGGCAGGCGACCCCCACGCCGCAGAGAGCCGCTCAGGGAGGGACGCGCCTTCTTGTTGCGGCGCGGGAGCGGTACTGACGCGAATCCGAGGCTGTCCCGTTGCCATGGTGCGCTGCTTCGAGTGGATGGAGAGGCCTGAGGCCGTTGTAGTGCCGCAGTCTGCTTGACAAGAGGGTCTTCAGCTAGTGTCGACAAAACGCGCCCGTCATCTCGCGCAGCTACTTTTCAAGCCGTGCATCTGGACCGTCACAGAGAGGCCGTAGAAGCACGTTGCCGCGCTCATCTGTCCGCTTTTGCTGATTTTCCTTTGCGAGCTTGGATCTGCGAGCTAAACTCAGGAAGCTCTGTGGTGCTGGGAAGGCAAGGCGTGGGGGCAGACAGCCACTCGCTCAGCGCGATGAAGTACCTCTACAACAGCCAGACCATCGATGTCCCTGACGGCGGTGAGATACAGCACACAAGGGAGGGACACAGGGAAGGAGGCAGGCAGGCAGGCGGGCATGGGATAGAGGGAGGAGAGGCAGAGAGGGAGGGAGGGAGGGCGGGGAGGAAGCTGAGGCACGGGATCTGTGGGAGGGAGCGGGCCGTGAGCTGATCTGGACGTGTCCATGTCCGTGTCTGTCTGTCTGTCTGTGTCCCCCTGTGGGTGTCAGTGGATGTGGAGATCAAGTCGCGCATCGTGCACGTCAAGGGCAAGTTCGGCGAGCTGGAGCGGAACTTTCGCCACTTGCCGGTGGACATCCACCTCTTCGAGGAGGACGGCAAGAACAAGATCAGGGTCGAGATGTGGCAGGGCAAGTCCAAGCAGCTCGCCGCTATTAGGACTGTCTGCACGCACATCAAGAACCTCTTCACCGGCGTCATGAAGGTGGGAGTAGGGAGCAGCGCACGGACCCACACACACGGCTGCAAAAGCAGAGGGGGAAGGAGGGGGAGGAGTGGGAGAGGGAGAGTTCTTGCCTCATCGACGTAGTCAAGAGTGTGTATGTGTCTGTGTGATGCTATGCTCACGTGACCCTGAACAGAAATATCAGTACAAGATGCGTCTGGTGTACGCGCATTTCCCGATCAACAGCAACATCACCGACAACAACACTCGCATCGAGATCCGCAACTTCCTGGGCGAAAAGATCGTCCGGTCCGTCAGGATGCTAGACGGCTGCACCGTCGACAAGTCAAACAACGTCAAGGACGAGATCGTCATCGCAGGAACCGACCTGGAACTCGTCTCGAGATCAGGTATATGCGGTGCGCATGACACACACACAGAGAGTCCCTTGCCCCATCTCTCCCCTCTCTCTCTCTGTGTGTCGCAGCTGCGCTGATCCACCAGTCTGTGATGGTGCGAAACAAGGACATCCGGAAGTTCCTGGACGGTATCTACGTCAGCGAGACGGGCACTGTTCACCAGGACGAGTGAACAGGCGGATAGGCAGACAGACAGACAGACAGGCGGATTCATTGCCACACTCCCCTGGCCTTGAGGGGCGGGTGGGCAGTGGGGCGGTCTGTCTGTCTGTGTGCCGTTGGTGGGCGAGTGGTTTGAATGAATGGCTTCTTGGCGAACCAATCAATGTGACTGACGGTCATTCATGTGTGTGACGTGACGGACGTGATGACTGAATGAAACTGTGTTGTGTTGTGTGTCCGAGAGGTTTGGCCGGTGCGGTGCGAGACATGCCACCGTGCACCACACAAACATTAAATATTCTGAAAACACGGCCGGCCCCATCAGTCAATCCAAATCGCGCATCAGATCACGTCAGTCATCATAGTGTCTTGGCCATGCACCGCACCATTGTCCCTACTTGCCCTCCTCTCCCTCTGCCTTTGCGCCCTCCCCTCCCCCCTCTGTGTCGCCACCGCCCTCAGCCGTCTTGATGAATCCCTTTTCGAGGAGCGTCTGCTTGAGTTCGCCGCTCTGGTAGAGCTGCATGATGATGTCGCAGCCGCCCAGGAACTCCCCGTCAATGTAGAGCTGGGGGATGGTCGGCCAGTCCGAGTACTTCTTGATGCCCTCCCGCACGATCGGGTGCTTCAGCACGTCCACAAAGGTGTAATCCGACATGCCCAGGCTGTCAAGAATCATCACCACCTGATGGTGACACACACATAACACACAGTTTAAAGGACGGATGTACTGCGATGCAGTTGCCTGCCTGCCTGCCTGTCTGTCTGCCTGCCCACTCACCCTGGAGCTGAAGCCACATTGCGGCTGGTCAGGGGAGCCCTTCATAAACAGCACCATCCGGTGCCCCGTCAGCAGCTCCCTGATCTTGTCCTTGATCTTGTCCCAGTCGATCTCCCTCGGCTGCGGCGCGAAGTCAGGGTGGCTCTCACCATTAGTGCCGCTGTCCTCCTCCTTCTCAGACTTAGCTGCCGCCGCGTCAGCTGATCCAGGAGACGCAGTGGACAGGCAGCAGACCACACCGAGCGACACGCACCGGGGGAAGGGGCTGAGGCGGAGGGCAGAGGGCTGGGCGGCGTAGTGTGGCAGGGAGGTGGCCAGTCTGCTGAGGGCGTGGGAGCTTCCCACGACGGGCGAGAGGCTGGCAAGGCATCGCCTCGCACTTGCCTTCATCTCGATCGGTTGAAAAGGACAGATTTCGTCGATCTTTGCTCACATTCGTCCCTGCTGTCCCTCTTGTGCTGCTGCAGGACGAAAACGCTCGGAAAAGGCGCTCTTGCCAAAGCAAGCTGTTGGTCGCGAGCTGTTGCTTTTGAAAGAGAAGGGCGGGGCGCCTTCCTCCATATCCAGCCTGTTGGCGTCAGTGAGAGCTGTACAGCTCGGCATTGCAGAATCTCTCAGCCGCACTCATCGGTTCGCACGAACGCCTCTCTCATCCGACGCTGCTGCAGACAGACGGACACCGCAGAGCCCACTCATGCACTCATTCGTCGGCCATTCGGCGTCAGGTTTGTGTCGGTCACTGATTGGCATGTGCGTGCAGCAGCATGGAGAAAGAGCGGTCAGATTGGACGTAATAGCTTTGCTTGTGTGTGAGTGACTGCAGATCGGTAGGCGCCTTGACAGCTTGAGTAATCAATGACCGACCAGACCGGCTGACTGGCGGGTGAGCACCACGAGAGACTCACTCGTTGACGGCGGGCACATCAATCACACCACGGTGTTTGTGTCTGTGCTGTGCTGTGTTGTGCAGGTGTTCGCTCGTTGTGGTGAGCAATTGGTGGTGAGTGAGTGATTGACACATGGCACACACGATCAACCAACAAGCGGCGGCTGCAGGTGAGCTGAAGGCAGGCAGCACCACCACACACACACACACACACACACACATGACGGCTCATCGATGTGTGTGTGTGTGTGTGTGTGTCAGCCGCTGAAGGTGGCGGTTTGCTCGGCAGCGACGCGCAAGCAGATGAGTCGGTCAGTCACTGCAACGAACGAAAGGCCTCCCATTAGACAAGCATCACCGCTTGATTGTGTTGCCTCATGTGTGTGTGTGCAGGTTGGTGTGCTGCGCAACATCTACGACACTCTCACTATGCTAGAGGGACTACACTCACAGGTAGCTCTCTCTCTGTCACCTGCGGCACAAACACACCACATCAGCCATGCCTTCGCTATTTGTGTGTTCTGCGTGTGTGTGACAGGGGCCGCCAGAGGCACTAGATTACCTGGCGACAAAGGCCGCGGTGAGTGACCTGAGAGCGATGTGTAAGTGTGACGTGTGTGAGTGAATGCGGCATGTGTGTGTGTGTGTGCGTGTGTGTGCACTGTGTGTGTGTGCAGGAGTCGCCCATGGGAGCATCTCGAGTCAAGATGGCCAGCGGTGCGCTCTCGAAGCTCTTCGTGTCCATGGAGGCTTAAGTCTGCCGTGTCGGATCTCAAAGGATTGGCTCTGGTGGGTGGGTACGCAACAGTGGATGGATGCTGTGTGTTCATCTTGCCCTCTGTGGATGCGTGTGTGTGATCGATGCGATGCGATGCGGTGCGTGCAGCTGGAGGGCAACTTCAAGATGTTCGCACTCACGTCGTCGTCGTCCGCCGCCGCTGGTGGTGGTGGTGCTGGTGATGGTGCCGTCCCCTCCACCCCACACTTGTTCGTGCAGCGGCTGTACGGCCTGCCACCGGAGCTCCACCACACACTCGCCGGATGGATCGGTGCAGAGGGCCAGGAGGCCACCACCCTCGCCCAGCTCAGCAACACCATGGCCAGCACGTCACACGCCGGCAGCAGTGCAGTCGAGACCGCCGTGACGTCGGCCATCGACGGCCTCATCAAGAGCAAAAGACTGGAGAGCATCATCGACTACCAGCCGCTGCGTCAGTCCGCCAGTCGCCGGCGTGTGTTTCGGCTGATCCGTCTGCGGTACGTGATAGAGGTGGGGGGCGACTGGTCGGGGAGTGTGGCGCTGCTGCGGCTTGCCAAGAACCTCAAGCGGATCCAACAGCTGCCCCTCCAGCTGGGTGAGGGCGATGTGAGGCGTGCGGGCACCAAGGAGGATATCGACAGCCGACTGGCGAGCATGCGGCAGTATGGCCTCTTCGGCAATCGCCTAGATGGCGACTTGGGGCTGACACGGGGGGCGGCGGGTGAGGTTGTGTGGGGGGGTCGGACATGGGTTGTTTGTCGGGAGCGGCTGGGCGGGATACCGGTGAGGGTGCACACACCTGAGACAGTGCCGGCCGAGTACAGAGATACCTTCGACCCTAGCGACCCTCCGTGCCGATGTAAGAGGCATGAACAGGTGTTATGCTCACTTTTCGATGTCCGTCTGTCTGTCTGTCTGTCTGTTCGTCTGTCTGTCCGTCTGCAGGCATCTATCACGAGTATCGTAGCTTCCGCGAGATTGTGATGACTCGGTATATACGCAACAAACGCATGCGATCACAATAAGGCAGCGTGTCGCATTCCGTGCCTTCCCTCCTTTGATCTTCTAGTATGCTCCATGGGGGACCTTGGGAGAGTGTGACGGTGGCCCGTCATCCTCCGTCGTCTGCTGCCTCCTCCCGCATCGGTGAGCTCACCGCTCAGCGACCCGGGACGCCACTGTGGGGCGGCCGCACCATCGGCAGCACCGACAGCGCCGCCTGCGAGAACCCTCACCGATGCCGATTCGTCCTCTTGCGTGGTGACGGACCAGACGACGCCTTCGCGGTATACGTGCGCATGAGCAAGCACTACCGGGGGGAGATATCCATCGGCCTTTACAGCACTGAGGACCCCCACGACGATGGGGGCGTCGGGGGCAATCCCCAGGCGGCGGCCCTGGCTCGCGCGCGGATGGGCAGCGATGCATGGCTGATCCCGCAGCTCAACCAGGCGATTCCCACAGGTCCGAGTGAGAGTGAGAGTGAAAGTGGAGAGTGGATGGAGGAGCGAACCTGCTGGTTGTGTTCAGGTGGTTCCGATGGCGTTGGTGATGAGAGTGGAAGCCACTCTGCAAGTGGACCCTCGGCAGGCATGGTAAGCAGAACGCACTTTGTTGGTGTCATCTGCTCTGCGTGTGTGTCTCCATGTGTATGTCAGGGGGCCACTGCCGCTGCGGCTGCTGCAGTGCCACAGGCCAACAAGCGAACTCACGATGTGAGCCAAGCGTGACCTCAATCATCTTGTCTCGTCCCGTGCAGTGGGTGTGAATGTGTTGGTTGACCATGTGTGTGTCAGGACTTGATGAGCCACCCCCACGAGCGGCAGCCGGAGTGCCCCCCGCCATACGCTGTGAGTGATGCTGTGGATGGTGTGACTGGCCCTCTCCCGCGCAAGCGCGTCAAGCCATCGGGCGCATCGGACCTCCTGCAGCCTGGCAGCGGCAGCGGCAGCGGCAGTGGGGTGGAGGTGGTCAACGGGGCGGATGGCATGGACACGGAGAAGCCAATGGAAGTTGACGAGCCAATGGCATCTGACTGACTGACTGGCTGAGTGTAATGCAGACAATCCATTGCTGGATGCAGAGTGCCTCGTGT